GAAGAGGCTCTAGTAAGGAGGGGAATTGGGCCAGATAGAGTAAAAAATCTGGCTGGATCTAACCCTTAATATTCAGTTTACGAAAGCTGTTAAAGGAAATCAGATTCAGGTAAAAAATATTACCCTCAATATAAACAGTTGATGAAGTATTGAATGCATCATGCAAAGCTGCTACTGCTCATAAGACAGAGCAGGTCAATGCTATTGACTCACTACTCTGACAGTGGCTGTGCTACTACAGCGCTATCAACACACGGACATTATGTAGTTACAATCCTACCCCGTGCCATCGGCAAACCTACTACTAGAAACAAGAGAGAGCAAAATGAGATTGAATGCTTGGAGCAAAGCATATATAATTTTTTAAAATACAATTTAAAATATATGACAAGAGAAAGAATATAGTGCCCAAAGAATTCCCAGCCCAACCACGGCCATTAAATCCATGGCCAAATAAAAATGTCTTACCTTATTTCCTGAAGCAGCATTTTTTGGTAGGATGAGTATTCATTGATCATAGTTGAGCAGCGGCTTTTGTGAGAAGTACCTTTTATTTTGATTCATTGCCTTACCCTGTGCACAGATTTTTCAACCACCTCTGCTGTGGGACCCCACAAAGCTTGCTAAAGCTAAAACCAAATTCCACCTGAACTTGCTTTAAGAGACAAACTTAGATGTGATGTCAGGGGATATCTGAATTGATCTTCTGCTTAAAAAAGAAAGAAAGAATAGTAGTAGCCAAGGGGGTCCCCAATTCAGACTGGTGCCATGACATGTGTGTGTGTGTAGTTGGGATTTAACCCTTTCCTGCCAATGCTCTACCATATTTGTCCCTTCTACTGTTCTCTGCCTTATCCACATAAAAACTGGGTTTTATTTAGCTGCTGTGCTGATAGTTTATTTATTTATTTACTGTATCTATATCCCACCTTTCTCCCCAATGAGGACCCAAAGCAGCCTACATCATTCTCTCCTCCATTTTTATCCTCACAATAACCATGTTAGGTCAGATAGGCTCAGGATCTATAGCTGGCCCAAGGTCACCCAGCAGGCTTCCATAGCAGAGTGGGGATTCGAACTTGGGTTTCCCAGATTCTAATCCTGTCCTTTAACCACTGCACCATGATGGTCATATTGCTACTCAGCAATATGTCCACTTTTATGAAGTGCATTGACACCAAGGAAGGCTTTTACAGCTGGTTACACCACAGGATATACCTCAAAATTCTAAATACCCAGTGTATGCCATGATTTGAATGTGGTGTGCCTCAGGGGGCGGTGCTTTCCCCGATGTTGTTTAATATCGATATGCACCCCCTTGCCCAGATTGCTCGGAGGTATGGACTAGGGTGTCATCAATATGCAGATGACACCCAGCTCTATCTGATGTTGGGTGGCCGGTCAGACTCCCGCCCAGAAGATCTGAATTGGGCATTACAAGCCATGGCTGGTTGGCTTAGACTGAGCTGGCTGAAACGGAACCCAGCAAAGACGGAGGTCCTGTGCCTGAGTCTCGGTGGTTGGGGAGTGGGGCTCCCCTTCCCGACCTTCGATGGGGCACCTTTGGTGCCAGCGTCGGAGGTTAGGAATTTGGGAGTGCATCTGGATTCCGCCTTAACTATGGAGGCCTAGGTGGCAGCCGCTGCCGGCTCGGCCTTTTACCATCTTTGGCTGATTCGGCAGTTGGTCCCCTTCCTCGACCGCGGCAACCTAGCTACAGTGATCCATGTGACGGTCACCTCGAGATTAGACTACTGTAACACTCTCTACATGGGGCTGCCTTTGTCGCAGATTTGGAAGCTGCAGTTAGTGCAGAATGCTGCGGCCAGGCTTCTAATGGATCTCTCTAGATGGGATCACATCTGGCCTGTACTGAAAGTGCTGTACTGGCTGCCAATAGCGTTCTGAATCCTCTTCAAGGTACTGGTAGTTACCTTTAAAGCCCAATATGGCCAGGGTCCGACATACCTGCAGGACCGCCTTTCCCCATACATACCCCAGAGAGCACTACGGTTGGGGGTCCAATATCGTCTGGTGATTCCAGGCCCCAGAGAGGCCAGGCTTGTGGCAAACAGGGTCAGGGCCTTTTCAGTGGCGGCTCCCACCTGGTAGAATGAGCTCCTGGAGGAGATCAGGGCCCTGCGGGACCTCTCACAGTTCCACAGGGCGTGCAAGACGGAGCTCTTCTGCCAGGCTTTTAATTAGGAGCTGCCACTACCACCACCACCAACCATCCTGTGGTAACAATGGGGCAATGGGATGGCCCAATATAAGACCACTACAGTACCGTGATGGATCGGTGCCGCCGAAATGGGCTCTGGGTTAACATCTACAAGCCTTCATCTTGACTTGACTAAAATAAGAATATCATGGAGCACTTTATTAATGTTAATTGGTTGTTTGTATTCTGATTTTAATGTTTTATATTTGGCACTTGGTGCCCTTGTGAGCCTCCCCACATGCGGGGAGGGTAGGATAAAAATGTAATAAATGAAATGTAATAAATGAAATTTTTATTTATTTATTTATTGTCGCAAGACAAACAATCAAGTGAAGGGGCACATAACAGGTTTGTAATAAAGGGGGTTTGTAATGTATTTAAATGCTATCTTAAAAGTGTAATATCTGTGTCTGGCAGTTCTGCATGGATGGTAATCAGTCAGTCAGTCATTGAATGCACTGCAAGAGACTAGCTGTGAAGGTATTTGAGATTAGAGAAAGAAAATGTGGTTGTTCCCACTGCTCTTTATTTTGACCTTGGACTACAAGTGGTTCTCCATGGTCAACAAGCACCTCTTCTTCCTCTGTGGAATCCTGGCAGTCTTCAGGATTGGCCTTCAGTATTGTCATTTTTGCTGTTTAGCTTATGCTAAATGGTTAATAATATTTTGACAGTATTCCCACTATTGATATTCACTGTGCATTCCAAATCCTTGTTCCTTCTGGCTATTTATCTGGTCTTTTATATGCTAAGCCTCAAAGCATTTAAACCATGGCAACTGTCCTGATAAGGAAGTACCAAAGTCCAATCTATTGCTGTTATTTAGGAGAGGGGCTCTGGCTCAGTGGAAGAGCCTCTGCTTGACATGCAGAAGGTCCCCGGTTCAGTCTCTGGCATTTCCAGTTAAAAGTACCAGGCCGTAGGTGATGTGAAAGCCTGAGACCCTGCCTGTCTTAGTAGAAAATATTGACCTCGATGGACCAAGGGTGGTTGTGAGGATAAAACAGAGGACCAGAAAATGATGTAATCTGCTTTGGCTCCCCATTGGGGAATAAGGTGGGGTATAAATGAAGTAAATTAATAAATATAAATAAATGTTCTGAATCCCTATAAGGCAGCTCCATCTGTATTACTCTGCCTAGTTAGGGTTGCTAGCCAAGTGCTGGCAAGTGGCTAGAAATGCTGGGTGGCAAGGACAAGAAAGATGGTGTTGCACCAACACTGCAACATCACTTCCAGCATGAGCCCAGAAATTACTTTTTGGGCCAACCCTAGAGCATTGCTTCTATATAGTACCATCACTTCTGGGTTTGTGCTGGAAGTGGTAGCATTAATGCCGCACTCGTTTCCCTCCGCAACTTTCTTCCGCTGCTCCACCAAGTAGCAGCAGGAGCGGCAATGCCCAGGGCAAGAAATCTACTGCTGTAGTGGGAGATCTGTCCACCTTACCTAGCAGGCTGATCTCACTGTTCAGCTTCTTTCATCTTGAGTTAGTTCTCCTCTCGTAGCCACACTGACTCTCAAAAGGATTCCCTATGACAGGTTATAATGGGTTAGAATATAATGGAGGCATGACAGGAACAAAGAATAGATGGAGGGAAGGAAGAACCCCAACTTGAGGAGACAGAATGTGAGGACAAAGTTGCTCTGTCACTTCTGCAAGTGCTGGAAGGTGAAATTATCTGTAGGCAATCTTAGCTCACCGCAAGTGCTGGAAGGTGGTTTGAAATTATCTGTAGGCAATCTTAGCTCAGCAGAAGGCAGTTAGGTAAATAGGTGCTGAAGGTGGCAACACTCATGGAATCAAGAATATCCTTGGGAAACAGGTCAACATTTTTGTCTTTGCTGTGTTATGGAGACCTCTGTTGGCCATGCTCTACAGACCACAAATGAAATATGACCTATGAAGCCCTGATCTCATATAAACCTAATCCTAACCCAAAGTCATGGAGTCTGTAACATTTACAAGGAAGCACACAACTCTACTCAAGAAGATGAGGATATGGCAAAACGTTTTGCATATTTAACGGAAAACTTTCTCAACCGTAGATCAATCCTAAGCAGTTAACCTAGGATGAATGGTGGTGATCTGATTGCATTTGATACAAGCTCTTTGGATAGGGTCAGTGGAATTTAGATTGGTTAGAGTCTTACATGGATGATGCAAGAAAAGATGACTAAAACCTGAGAAACAGAAAGTGTGGAATGTAGAACAGAACTTGGGTTAAAGTGGGAGGTACAGAAATAAAACCAAGGTGGTAACAAAATTTTAACTTCTCTGTGTTTCCTCCCTTCTCCATTACAGAGCCATATATTTTACTCACATCATTCATCCTTTGTAGTTCTAAGAGGGATTTTTGTTGTATTCCCACAACTGAGCAAATGGAAACTAAGAGTTTCAATAGCAAATGGCCTTGGTGTAGGAAGTTCTTGTAACTTCTGTAGAGAAGGTGAATTTTTAAAAAAACTGTATTCGTCTTAAATCTGTTTCTTGAGAATAGGCCCTCTGCATACTATGCCATTGTAGCCTTTCCTCAGCTCAGCTGAATTACACACACTCCAGTAAATGACCTCAGCAATCGCCTAGTAAATGGACCAGCGAGATAACAGCATCAGGAAAATGAATCTCCCTTTCAGAAAAGTATAACAACTACTGTTTCCCCAAAGCTGTTGCTGTTTGATAGTTTGCTCTTATTATTGGGACATTAGTAGCTGAACAACCTAAGTGGACAAACGTGTCTGACCTGGAGTGTGCTGTTTGTTTCATTTTGTTTTGTAGGAGAAAGCCCAGCATTTGCAGAGGACTCTTGCTACTCAAGTAGATAAATCCACACAGACGGAGCTTGTAGGCCATGATGTAAGTCGCTGTATTAAACAGTTTTTTCCCCCTTTTATCTTCTTTGTTGATATGCAAATATCTACCAACCTCTCTTCCTCGGCTACTGCTGTGTTTACATGTTGATACAAAAGTGTGATGCCATCCATCCTTTTGCTGTTAAATGATTCTCAAATATCTTCTGCAATGGGAAAAAAAGATAATTATAGCTACCTGCCAGCATACCAATATCCTATTAATTGCTTGTTTTGCCAACAGCTCCCTGATAATCCCTAGAATCTATACAAGGAAAAACATGGAGAATATTTATTAGTGGAATTTGAAATCTGTCTTAATTTCTTTTTACAAAAGCATTTACCTACTTATTAGCAACATTAATGAACTTATTATGTTTGTAATCACCAAACGACTGCACAAGTAATTTTTATGTTGTGTTACATAATGAAAGCTGAAGAAGTTGGCAAAGAAGTTTGCATTAATATTTTAACTGTTGCCTATCAGCAGGGGGTGTTGCCAGTAATTTAATTGAAAATTAGGATTTTTTTTTAATCCTGGTGTGGTTCTGAACTGTGACTGTCAACAAAAGTACTTGTTCCTACAAACTGGGCACTTTGACTTGCATGTGCTTTATAACTTGTCTTAGTAATCATGGTTTGGAGAATCTCAAAACAATTATTATCTACCTCACAGAACATCATTCTATTATCTTTCTTCAATCATATTCTATAAAATAAATTTCTAGCTTTTGATGTAGCTTCCATTATGCTTCTGAGTGGCTCCACATGCATCTGTTGCTGCATATACTGCATTTTATTTAGTTTATGTTACTCATGATCATATTTTATGGAAGGCCCTACTCTGTTTCATGTAGTGGGCACTGGCTTCAATGGATGACTTTTTTGTTTTGTTTTTTGTTTGTTTTTTAAAGAAGGAGCTGCACTTCTTGTAACTGTAAGAGGATGGGTCCTTATGCTAGTTTGTGGTCATGAGTTTTCCATGTGGAGGGTGGTTCTGAAGAAGACAACTTCAAACTATTATTATTGTGAATTTCCATCTCTATATTCTCTGGCAGTTCTGTTGAGTGAAAGGGCTTTAGTACTGAATAACTGGACCTTTGAATTGGAGATATATATGCTCTGCTTTATCTTTTGTCCACCGCAAGATCTCTAGATGGTCAATTTAAAATAATCTAATAGCAAAGTAATAGTGTCATTGAAATGATATGGGGGGTCATGAAAATCATCAGTTAGACAACATACACAGGCCCCAATCCAGATAAGATTATCCATGCTTAATTTTGCATTAAATGTGTTGTATGTGAAGTCTCTGCGGAACGCCTTTTTTGTATTAGCCACCAAGGTTGACAAAAACAGGTATTATGAGGATTACACTTATTCTTTAACATATTTTTATATTGCATTCTCAACTGAGTTCATGACGAAGTATACATCATCACTTTTCAGCCAGATTGGCTCCCAGTGCAGCTAGCCTTCTAAAAATCTAGTAGAGCAGAGCTGAGGGGCCTCCCTTGGAAGGAAGCTCTGTATGGGAGTTGTCATCATGGAGAAGTTTGATTATACCTACAAGCTTTCATTTTTCCGTATGTTCAAGGCCAATATGTCTCCATGAAAGAATTGTTTTGTATATGTTCTTGCAATGCCTTTTGTGCATGCAGTTGGATATTTTACTATGTGCTGTACTACAAGTTTAAGGTCACCTTGAGGTCATTTTCACACCTAAGCAATGGCAACATAAATAGGGCAACTTCTCAAATCAAATCTTTGTGGCTTTATTTTGCTTCATGACTTACAGTATTTTTAAATGCTCTTTTGTGCCAGCCATGTTTCCAGCAATCCCAGTGGCCAAATCCCTTGTGCTTCATGGTTAGAATCTGCTGTTGTGTCACCATATGGTTTCCTCATACAAGTTAACAAAGAGCCAGCTGTGCATATGCCTCGGTGTCTCCAAGCTTAGCCAATTTATATTATTAGGAAATTGGGAGAAAAGACAAAACCAAGAAAAGATCATTTGGAAGAATTAAAATGATGTTTCCCTTAGTGAGGGTCCTAATGCCATAAGTTGAGAACTGATTTTGGTTCAGATATCTTAGATGTTCTCCTTCAAATCAGTTTGTGGATCCCAAGAAGAAAATTCTGATTTTTCAAACAGATTTTGAAATCAGAGATTATGTCTGAACTGGAAATTATGGATTTATGAAACAGTATCTTGAGATGTTCTTTGATCTGTGTTTCACATGGTGTTTTACCAAGAAGGAGTGCCATGAAGCTTTGATGTCTTAAAAATGCCTTGGATAAATTAAGGACAAATTACTGTAGGCTGGACCCAAGGGAACCCTGAGCATACAGAATGCTCATGGAAGAATGTTATGTCTGACACCAGAATGGTGTGCAAAAACAGTAAAATTAAAGCCAAAGGTGTATTGCTGCAAACGCTTGCACAGCCTCTTATATGTGGAGGTGTGGGAAACATGTTAAAATGTATTGATTATAGTATTGTGTGATCTCCTGCACAAGTGCTTGCAAAAAGGTTTACAGAATCCCGTTGGTGTCTGTTTTACTTCCACTCATTGTTCTCTGAGTCAAACTGTCTTTGCTCAGCTGGGCAGCTCTTGAAATGCCAAGTATCATTCCTAAACTTTGTCCCATCAGCCACACCCTTTTAGACGTCTGCCTGGAATCTAAATCACTTCATTTCCCATAAAAATGTGCCCCAGTTTATGAATATGTTGTGGCCATAATGTACTGATAAAGAGAGGTAGTAATTGAAATGAGGAAAACAATAGCTTCCATTCACAAGAAAGGGGTTGTTGTGCAGGCTGTCCAAATGCCTACTGTCAGAAATGTTCCCCTTCCAATGTATGTACATCAAAGTTGATTTATAGACACATCCAACATTCCAGCAAAATCAGTTTATGTGCAGCAGTGTGTGGGTGTCTGTGCATGGGGGGGGGGGAGCTTGCTATCTCAAATATATACTAAAGAATCAGTGTCATTTTAACTTTCTTCACCCTCTTCGATTTCATTGAGAGATCATAATTTTTTTGCTGTTTTGAAATGAGGATGTAAGATAAAGAGGAACACTCAGGTGGAAGTGCTGCTGCTAAAGAGCACTTCTGATTTATGATTTTTTTTTAAGGTGGAGTATATGAATTCTAGTGTTAAAGCAGAGCTAGTCCACCGCTGCCTTAGAAGATACTCTAACTTTCCTCGAACCTTTCCATGCAGTGTCACAACAATATTTGTGGGTCATCTGGCATTCAGGAAAACTTCTGTGCCATTAAGGGTCTTCAAGGCTTCTGGGAACTCTGGGGTGTCCTAGAACAGTTTGAAAATCATTGATCTGCAAAAACAGAGTTTGTGAAGAAACAGCTCAGAGATCTCACTCACTTAACCGTGAGAGACTACGTTTCACACACAGATTTTGGAAAGGCCATGCTCTAATGTGGTATTCTAAATATATGTGATACTGCATGTATTTATAGGTGGGACAAGTTAATAATGTGGCATTTGTACTTTTGAATAACCATACATAGAATTCTGCTGTATGTTGTGACTGATTTGGCTGCATTGTGTCTTGAAGCTGTTTCACTTGAACAGCCCATTTTTTTCCCACTAGATCAACATGAAAATGAGATGGGAAGGTCACCTTCTGTTTGAGGATTTTTACCTTCTTGAAAACCTTTAGCTCAGGCTTAACTCTGAGCCTACTCTGGATTTCAAAAGATCATTCACTGAGTCATATCTCGGTGGTAGACCTTTCAGATTTTGGCTTATTTCATATATGAAGACAGCGGGGGTAACTCATGTATCTCCAAATCTTAGAATTGTTTTTTTTTTCCCATGGCAAAAAGTATGCTGAGAACATCAGCTGTTACAGAGGCTATCACTGTCCTATAGCCTGTAGATAATGTTTTATCTTTTCTTCTACCTTTAGTGCTCATAGCACAATACATCTACAGGAGCAAAAAACTCAAAATCAGAATCGAAGTACATAGAAACCATATCCTTTCCCTTCAGCATCTATGTTTATTGCTCAAAAACATTTCCACAACATTCTGCACACTTTGAACGTTTTCAGCAGAAGACAGAAGTGTCCACTGTTTCCTATGTCTGGTTATTTTCTCATGAGGATTGCCTGGAAGCAATATATAGACTCACACTGGTTTAATAATAGTTAATAAATTTTCATGGAAAACCTAGAAAATGTCATGGGGGAGAGTAGATATATCTAACAGAAAACTCTCTGCAGTTCATAAGTCTGTTGTTCTCAGAATGCTGGGCAGGAAGTCCTAACAGTAGTATAAAACCAATCTACGTTTGTAGTAGATAGTTACAGATGGATGGATGGATAGCCATCCATAGAACCGGTTCTTTTGACTCACAGTGGTGAGTTATGTTAGGGTGGCTTATCCTTTAAAACAGCTTTAATAGGAAAGAGACTTCAACCTCTTTCATAATCTTTCTATCCTGGGATCTTTTAATAAGATAGTGGTGTCCATTTATTACATCGGTGACTTCATAGATCCAAAGATCTACAGCCTTGAATCCTGGTAACAAAATGTCTTTTTAAAAAAATCTAAAATGTTATTTATTTGCATGGCAATAAGATCATTCCAAACAAACAGTTTTGCAGAGTGTACTAAAGTACATTACATTTAGCCTTGTACCTATTTTATGTACCATCCAAACCAGATTTTCCCAATATGTATGCTAATTGCAAGACAGAAATTATGCACATTTACCAGCAGAGCCTCAGGTCCTTGCTTGCTTTTCTGGTTATTTATATTTCTTTATAAGATCCTAAGAAGCATGTTGTCATGTGATGCGATAAAAGGGAATTGCTAAATTTCTGTCCCACTGCAAGCAATGAAGGTTAGGTGACAGCTATCGGATATCTTGCAACTAGGTTGCTAGCTACACCCACAGCTGTTTCAGAGCTACACGAATTCTCAGCAGTTGAGTTCCTAATCCTATAATTGAATGATGAACTACAGATGGACT